ACTCTGTTAGGGTAAATTTTGTTGCAGTAATCAAGGTAACAAATTGACTGGAGTGTGACTGCCTTTACCTCCAGCCGTATTAGTCTCCTTAAACAAACCATACCAATGGTAGGGTTAGAACCCGCGGTCAGAGAGTCATAAAACTCCAGACCGACGCGTTAGCCACTGGACCAGCTGGCTACAATAAGATTAATCCAACTAGGTATATTTCTACATCATAGGAAGGTTAGCATAGGCCACCACTGTGACCACAAATGCAAGTTTTTACAGACGAATCTCCCGCCAGTGTGGCCGTGACGAACTATAGTTCAAGTTCCCTCAAAGCCGTCAACATGACTCACGAAATCGTAATGACACGATTGCAAACAAACCATACCACGGGCAGGGTTAGAACCCACGATCAGAGAGTCACAAAACTACAGACTCTCCTAACCTGAAGTTTTGGAGTCAAATCAATGGGCCTACTGGCCTATGCCAGCCCAGTCCATCTACCCTCAGCAATACTACTGTACTGGTATCACCTCTCTGCACCTCACCCCTGCCACTATATATACCCTCCCTGTGGTTACCTTTGCACCTCACCCCTGCCACTACATAAACCCTGCTTGTAGTTATCTTTGCACCTCACCCCTGCCACTATATATACCCTCCCTGTGGTCACCTTTGCACCTCACCCCTGCCACTATATAAACCCTGCCTGTGGTTACCTTTGCACCTCACCCCTGCTACTATATAAACCCTGCCTGTGGTTACCTTTGCACCTCACCCCTGCCACTATATATACCCTCCCTGTGGTCACCTTTGCACCTCACCCCTGCCACTATATAAACCCTGCCTGTGGTTACCTCTGTACCTCACCCCTGCCACTATATAAACCCTGCCTGTGGTTACCTCTGTACCTCACCCCTGCCACTATATAAACCCTGCCTGTGGTTACCTCTGTACCTCACCCCTGCCACTATATAAACCCTGCCTGTGGTTACCTTTGCACCTCACCCATGCCACTATATAAACCCTGCCTGTGGTTACCTTTGCACCTCACCCCTGCCACTATATAAACCCTGCCTGTGGTTACCTTTCCACCTCACCCCTGCCACTATATAAACCCTGCCTGTGGTTACCTTTGCACCTCACCCCTGCCACTATATAAACCCTGCCTGTGGTTACCTTTGCACCTCACCCATGCCACTATATAAACCATGCCTGTGGTTACCTTTCCACCTAACCCCTACCACTACTTTTTACATACACTAAATAAAAATCAAAGCACCGAATAAGTCTAGCCAGCAGAATACATCTGCTACACTACAATAACATTCATAAATCTTAACCCATAACAGGGAAAACGAGCGGTATCTTTACATAACACGGTTCTCTCTCCGTAGAACACGTAGAAGTTGTCAGTCGGGTTGGCATATCCCTCGTCCAGGGCGAAGCCGACATTCATCTTCTGGAAGGCGTCACTCCTGACGAATTTCTTCATGCCGTTTAGTCCACCAATCTCCTCGTCTGCAAATAAATCCATACTGAAAATATACATTTAATTGCCAACACTTTAGGGTGACCAGTAGGAGTGGGTAAGACTGACAGTAAGATCACCAGTAGGATCAAGCAACACTTACAGTAAGATCACCAGTAGGATCAAGCAGCACTTACAGTAAGATCACCAGTAGGATCAAGCAACACTGACAGTAAGATCACCAGTAGGATCAAGCAACACTGACAGTAAGATCACCAGTAGGATCAAGCAACACTGACAGTAAGATCACCAGTAGGATCAAGCAACACTGACAGTAAGATCACCAGTAGGATCAAGCAACACTGACAGTAAGTCACCAGTAGGATCAAGCCAACACTGACAGTAAGATCACCAGTAGGATCAAGCAACACTGACAGTAAGATCACCAGTAGGATCAAGCAACACTGACAGCAAGATCACCAGTAGGATCAAGCAACACTGACAGTAAGATCACCAGTAGGATCAAGCAACACTGACAGTAAGATCACCAGTAGGATCAAGCAACACTGACAGTAAGATTGGGTAACTGCAAGGTCACAAGGCTACACAGAGAGCACTGCCCATACAATGGAACCTTGGTAGTCGACCTTAATTCATTCCAGAAGGCTGTTCGTGTGCCGATCTGTTCGAGTACCGAATTTTTCCCATAAGGAATAATGTCAATTAGATTAATCCATTTCAGACCCCAAAAATACACTTCCAGCGACTTTGTGGTGAATTTTCGTACGGTATTTATAATTGTATTTTCAATTTCTTGGTCTCATTTGATAGAATGAAAATATTCTACCGATATTGAAATAATTTTGGATGTTTCACATACTGAAAGTACCTTGAAACTGAGCTCAAAGTAGCGGAAATATTAGATTTCAAGAGTAAACAAATCACGCCACGCGTCCAATACACGTCAACTGGTGAGTAATATGCTGTCTCAATTGCGCTGATATTATTTATACCCTTTTTTCAATAACACAGTAGTCTGCATAACAGTAAATCTTCTATTTTTTGTGTGAATAAAAATTTAAAATGGAAGGCAAGTGTAATATAAGAGGGACTCGAAGTGGGAGGAGCTATAAGAGAGGGAGGGATGGGCCAGCAGAAGGAACATTCAGTGTCTGATAAGCCGTCTTGATAGCCTGATACTAGCGGTGGCGCCAATATAATGTTGTGTAATAACGCTAATATTAGTAATAAAGGCTTTCTATCATATTTACTCCAACTTGATATCAGAAACACGATAGATAACTGTTACAAAAAACGCGATTCTAAAAGCTTAGGGATCTCCAGTGAATACTAGAAAGGACTGCCCTTCTAGCATCCAGCCTGTTACTGGGTTTTCGTAACAAGTAGTCAGTATCCTTGTCCAATTATCCATTAAAATTCAGTATGGTTCAATAGTGCTTTAGGATTACAACTGGTAGGCTACTAACTAGAGAAATTAAAATTTAATAAATTTATTGATTAAGTTGTCTAGGCGTATATCAAATTAAATTAAATTAATCACAGTAATCAAAATAATATTAATCACTTCTCTCGTGTACAATATTATTGTGCTGAAAGCACATATCACATTTATAATTCTTAAGTACCGTCTGGTACATTAACATTTAATAAGATATTGCAAATATGTACAAGTAAGTTTGTGTGTATGTGTGTAAGTGCTCTAAGTAGTTCGCTATGTCTCACGACTCGACTAGACTTAAACAAGTGACTGACAAAGTCCTCACATAAGCTAACTTCTTGACCAACTGGCAGTCAGAAAAGTCTGCTTGAACAATAAAAGAATGCTAAGCCCAATAGCAATGTAACAAGCAACTGCGACACAGAATCAGGAACAAGGAGATAATATAACGACACTAAGTAGGGACCATCAGCAGATCCTCCACAAAAGTCACAAAACTCCCATACTACTGAATCTAAGTTCAGCATAAGAAAATCCCCGACTGTGATAATACACAGATACCAGTACAAGTTAGGTCAGAAGCTACAGCTCAGGACCTGAGTTACTCAGAGTGTCTATGAGACACATAACCTCAATACAACATCGAAAATCACTAAGTCTATACAATGTTCTGTGAACAGAGTCTCACAGAACCTATAAGAAAGCTAGAGATGATCTTCCAACAAGGGCCTATAAGGGAGATTTAGGCACTTGTCAGGGATACTACGTCCAACCACCAAGCGAGTCTAGACCAGACTGAATACTTCAAGCGAGGTGTGGACACCCCCCTCGATCACGTGATAGCTCCGTGGACAGCTGCAGCTCAGCAAGAGAAGCCGGCAGAGTAACGAGCCACAAGAGATAATTACAGTAGTTAGACAATCAAGACTTGAACTGAGCACATAATAATATGTTACATCCTACCTAACAAAAGGAAACTAAGTCAAATAATAATATAAAGCAATATATTTACAATTTAGCTATTATCGCAAATATAAGCAATATAAATTATATGAAAAGGTAAGACCTGGGAGTGATCATGTCGGAGGATCTCACCTTCAAGGACCATAACATTGTATCAATCGCATCTGCTAGAAAAATGACAGGATGGATAATGAGAACCTTCAAAACTAGGGATGCCAAGCCCATGATGACACTCTTCAGGTCACTTGTTCTATCTAGGCTGGAATATTGCTGCACACTAACAGCACCTTTCAAGGCAGGTAAAATTGCTGACCTAGAAAATGTACAGAGAACCTTCACGGCGCGCAAAACGGAGATAAAACACCTTAATTACTAGGAGCGCTTGAGGTTCCTGAACCTGTATTCCCTGGAATGCAGGCGGGAGAGATACATGATTATATACACCTGGAAAATCCTAGAGGGACTAGTACCGAACTTGCACACAAAAATCACTCACTACGAAAGCAAAAGACTTGGCAGACGATGCAACATCCCCCCAATGAAAAGCAGGGGTGTCACTAGCACGTTAAGAGACCATACAATAAGTGTCAGGGCCCGAGACTGTTCAATTGCCTCCCAGCATACATAAGGGGGATTACCAACAGACCCCTGGCAGTCTTCAAGCAGGCACTGGACAAGCACCTAAAGTCGGTTCCTGACCAGCCGGGCTGTGGCGTGTACGTTGGTTTGCGTGCAGCCAACAGTAACAGCCTGGTTGATCAGGCTCTGATCCACCAGGAGGCCTGGTCACAGACCGGGCCGCGGGGGCATTGACCCCCGGAACTCTCTCCAGGTCTCCAGGTATGCATGTAATATATATACATACATTGTAACCCATTCAGGGGTTGCAACAATAACCTAGAAGCTGAAATTAATAATGAAAGGCATATTATATGGAGAGGTGGAGGCGGTGTTTACATCAGGGCAAACACACTCTAACCAATTTTCTGTTTGATTGGCTGTTATCACTAATCTTCTTAGTCCCCATTACCTGGAGTTTACCTGCAGTTTACCCATGGTGACTTATAAAAAAAAGCACCCAAAAAAAAAAAACACGAAATAGTTTACAGTGAAGGTCAGAGGAATATTGCACTGAGTGACAACTACGGGGAGACTGATGCACATGTTCTCACAGGTCGTGTTTGGTCGAGTACCGAACAAAAGGTCGACTACCGAGCGATTTTTTTTTTACCAAGCAAAGCGTTCAAGTACGGAACTATTCGAGTTCCGAGGTTCCACTGTATTTCTAGTGCTCGTCTGTGAGACACAGAAAGTTACAGGTTTGAGAAGATGAATCAAAAAGTATTTAGGGAAATAAAGGTGGCAATTGTATAATAATTGCAAGTATGAATTATTAAGATTTGTCTAATATCTCAATTAAAAATGCCTTGGCAGTGAAAAAGTCGGGATAATTGACCGTAATGGTCAATAAATATTTATCCAACTGTCTCCGTACACCTCAGCTGTCTCTCACTGAGGTAGAGTGACCCACAAAAAGAAACACATGCATCATCACTCAGTCAGTAACCCTGTAAACTGCAACATCCATCCTTCAGAGTGCAGACAATGTACACTTGTGTGCTGGAATATCATGCTTCCAGCTCGCAAAAACCATCCTGGAATGACCTTGCCCATCGTTCCTTTCACCCTAGATTTCTAAACTCTTTTGGCAGTCATGTTCTATTTGCGTGACCCTGTGACCTGCCTGGCAAAGCTCTCGCCTCACACACGGAGGGCACGGGTTCGATTCCCAGCAAGGTGCAAACATTTCGATGTGTTTCCTTACACCTGTTGTCCTGTTCACCTAGCAGCAAATAGGTACCTGGGTGTTAGTGGACTGGTGTGGGTGGCATCCTGGGGGACAAGATTGAGGACCACAATGGAATGTGGTCCTCAATGTTAGCCACCCATTGGGTGGCTAACATTCCGGGGTTAAAAATCCGAACGAAATCTTATCTTAAAAGGAGAAGAGATAAAATTCCATTATCAGTTTTGATGGAGGTAAACTTTTGTATAGGTCAACCATGACTTAATAATCCTGGAGGGCCACAAGAGTCTTGTGCTTTAAACCCACAGGGGCCATAAGTGCCTTAGGAATGAAAAACAGGCAGGTTTAATCCAAGGAAGGAGAAAAATAGCTCCATTACCATAGATCAAAAGCACTTCAATGGTGCCTTGAAGGAGGCAGCATCTCGCAGACACCAGAAAGTAATTCCAGGTAACAGAAAACGGGGAACCGGCACTGATGTTATTTTTTAAGGGGCAACTAAAGTGTTTTGACTACCACCAGGCCTAGTGGTGGTTACTAGGCCTAGTGGTGGTTGCTAGGCCTAGTGGTGGTTACTAGGCCTAGTGGTGGTTGCTAGGCCTAGTGGTGGTTACTAGGCCTAGTGGTAGTTACTAGGCTTAGTGGTGGTTACTAGGCCTAGTGGTGGTTACTAGGCCTAGTGGTGGTTACTAGGCCTAGTGGTGGTTGCTAGGCCTAGTGGTGGTTACTAGGCCTAGTGGTGGTTACTAGGCCTAGTGGTGGTTACTAGGCCTAGTGGTGGTTACTAGGCCTAGTGGTGGTTACTAGGCCTGGTGGTAGTTACTAGGCTTAGTGGTGGTTACTAGGCTTAGTGGTGGTTACTAGGCCTAGTGGTGGTTACTAGGCCTAGTGGTGGTTACTAGGCCTAGTGGTGGTTACTAGGCATGGTGGTAGTTACTAGGCTTAGTGGTGGTTACTAGGCCTAGTGGTGGTTACTAGGCCTAGTGGTGGTTACTAGGCCTAGTGGTGGTTACTAGGCCTAGTGGTGGTTACTAGGCCTAGTGGTGGTTACTAGGCCTAGTGGTGGTTACTAGGCCTGGTGGTGGTTACTAGGCCTAGTGGTGGTTACTAGGCTTGGTGGTGGTTACTAGGCCTAGTGGTGGTTACTAGGCCTAGTGGTGGTTGCTAGGCCTAGTGGTGGTTACTGGACCTGGTGGTGGTTACTAGGCCTAGTGGTGGTTGCTAGGCCTAGTGGTGGTTACTAGGCCTAGTGGTGGTTACTAGGCCTGGTGATGGTTACTAGGCCTAGTGGTGGTTACTAGACCTGGTGGTGGTTACTAGGCCTGGTGGTGGTTACTAGGCCTGGTGGTGGTTACTAGGCCTGGTGGTGGTTACTAGGCCTGGTGGTGGTTACTAGGCCTAGTGGTGGTTACTAGGCCTGGTGGTGGTTACTAGGCCTGGTGGTGGTTACTAGGCCTGGTGGTGGTTACTAGGCCTAGTGGTGGTTGCGAGGCCTAGTGGTGGTTACTAGGTCTAGTGGTGGTTACTAGGCCTGGTGGTGGTTACTAGGCCTAGTGGTGGTTGCTAGGCCTAGTGGTGGTTACTAGGCCTAGTGGTGGTTACTAGGCCTGGTGGTGGTTACTAGGCCTAGTGGTGGTTAATAGGCCTGGTGGTAGTTACTAGGCTTGGTGATGGTTACTAGACCTGGTGGTGGTTACTAGGCCTGGTGGTGGTTACTAGGCCTGGTGGTGGTTACTAGGCCTGGTGGTGGTTACTAGGGCTGGTGGTGGTTACTAGGCCTGGTGGTGGTTACTAGGCCTGGTCGTGGTTACTAGGCCCGGTCGTGGTTACTAGGCCTGGTGGTGGTTACTTGGCCTGATGGTGGTTAATAGCCCTGGTGGTGGTTACTAGCCCTGGTGGTGGTTACTAGGTCTGGTCCACTAGCACCCAGGATGCGACCCACACCAGACCTCTAACACCAAGGATGTGACCCACACCAGTCCACTAACACCCAGGACGTGACCCACACCAGTCCACTAACACCCAGGATGTGACCTGGACCAGTCAACTAACACCCAGGATGAGACCCACACCAGTCCACTAACATCCAGGGTGAGACCCACACCAGTCCACTAACACCCAGGATGCGACCCACACCAGTCCACTAACACCCAGGATGTCACCCACACCAGTCCACTAACACCCAGAGTATGACCCACACTAGTCCACTAACACACAGGATGTGACCTGGACCAGTCAACTAACACCCAGGATGAGACCCACGCCAGTCCAGTAACACCCAGGATGCGACCCACACCAGTCCGCTAACACCCAGGATGTGACCCACACCAGTCCACTAACACCCAGGATATGACCCACACCAGTCCACTAACACCCAGGATGTGACCCACACCAGTCCACTAACACCCAGGATGAGACCCACACCAGTCCACTAACACCCAGGATATGACCCACACAAGTCCACTAACACCCAGGATGTGACCCACACCAGTCCACTAACACCCAGGATGTGACCCACATCAGTCCACTAACACCCAGGATGTGACCCACACCAGTCCACTAACACCCAGGATGCCACCCACACCAGTCCACTAACATCCAGGATGTGACCCACACCAGTCCACTAATACCAAGGATGCGGCCCACAGCAGACTACTAACACCCAGGATGTGACCCACACCAGTCCACTAACACCCAGGATGCGACCCATACCAGACTACTAACACCTAGGATGTGACCCACACCAATCCACTAACACCTAGGATGTGACCCACACCAGTCCACTAATACCCACGATGTGGCCCACACAATCCACTAACACCCAGGATGTGGCGCACACCAGTCCACTAACACCCAGGATATGACCCACACCAGTCCACTAACACCCAGAATGTGACCCACACCAGTCCACTAACACCCAGAATGTGACCCACACTAGTCCACTAACACCCAGGATGCGACCCACACCAGTCCACTAACACCCAGGTGCCCATTATACTGATGGGTGAACATAAACAAGCGGTGTCTTACAGAAACACTCCCTAATGCTTTTCATCCTTACCTGGGATTCGATCTCCGGACCTCAATGTGTGAGTGCGCTTCCGTTCAAGCTGCGGGACACCAGTTAATTAATTCAGGTACAGTCCCTGGACCCATTATGTACCTCAGTAATGTTGAGGTACAGTCCCTGGACCCATTATGTACCTCAGTAATGTTGAGGTACAGTCCCTGGACCCATTATGTACCTCAGTAATGTTGAGGTACAGTCCCTGGACCCATTATGTACCTCTGTAATGTTGAGGTACAGTCACTGGACCCATTATGTACCTCAGTAATGTTGAGGTACAGTCCCTGGACCCATTATGTACCTCTGTAATGTTGAGGTACAGTCACTGGACCCATTATGTACCTCTGTAATGTTGAGGTACAGTCCCTGGACCCATTATGTACCTCTGTAATGTTGAGGTACAGTCCCTGGACCCATTATGTACCTCTGTAATGTTGAGGTACAGTCACTGGACCCATTATGTACCTCTGTAAAGTTGAGGCATAGTTCCTTGAGCCATTATGTACCTCTGTAATGTTGAGGTACAGTCACTGGACCCATTATGTTCCTCTGTAATGTTGAGGTACAGTCCCTGGACCCATTATATACCTCTGTAATCCTTTAAGTACCGCCCACATAATTGGATTGGGGCACATAATACAGCTGTTACTGACTAACTTACCATGGGTTCGAACCTCCTTCTCCTTTCCTGATTTTCCTAGTCAGGAAAGAGGACAAGTGTGTCCTGACGCGGGTCAGAACACACTAGCAGCTACAACTCTAGTCAACTGACCGATACCTTCCCCTGGCTTACCAATCCACCCCCTTTCAAAATTATCATCATAATTATTTCTTGGATAACTGTTCCCCTCAAGGAAGGTTCCTTGATGTTGGTGAGGGGCTCTTGATTTAGGGAATTGGATCTGTGCTCCAGTTCCCCGAATTAAGCCTGAATGCCTTCCACATCCTCCCCCCAGGCGCTGTATAATCCTCCAGGTTTAGCGCTTCCCCCTTGATTATAACAATAATTATTGGATAATTCTTACCTGGTACAAACGAAATGTAAATTGTCCTGAGGAACTTGTGTCCATCTTTCCTGAGACTTTTCAGAGCTTCTAAATACTGGACTCCGACACACTTCATGTCTTGTGTACCACGACCATATATATCACCGTTGTCGTCTTTGTGACCACTGAATGGGTCGTATTTCCAGTGTTCCTGAGCAGGAGATAAAAGATTTATAATCTGCATTAATACATTTTAGCAGAGGTGTCACCAGAGCTGCAGAATTATGTGCATATCAAGCCATATCATGGGTGAGGTTAGAACCAGCGATAAGAGAGTCATAAAACTCCAAACCGACGCCTTAGCCACTGGACCAGCTGGTTACAATAAGATGCATCCAACTGGGTATATTTCTGCATCATAGGAAGGTTAGTATAGGCCACCAGTGTGACCACAATCGCTTCATAATAATTTCGTGAGTCAGGTTGACGGCTTTGAGGGAACTTGAGCTAGAGCTCGTCACGGCCACACTAGCGGGAGATTCGTCTGTAACAACTTGGATTTGTGGTCACAGTGGTGGCCTATACTAACCTTCCTATGGTGTACAAATATACCTAGTTGGATGCATCTTATTGTAACCAGCTGGTCCAGTGGCTAAGGCGTCGGTCTGGAGTTTCATGACTCTCTGACCGCGGGTTCTAACCCGACCCATTTGTAATCGTGCCATTACGATTTCATAAGTCGAGTTATGTACATACACTGTAAATATTGATCAGGGAGACCCTGACGATTAAGGGACAATCTTGCAGGTTGATTACTAACTTAATACTGTTTATGCAGAGGCTGGTAATAATTTACATAAATGTTATTATGTATGAGAGCTTGCCTACCTATGCCTATTAAACTTACTTAAGTAACCTATATAGGTGCTGGGGTTATTATTATTTGATAGGTTTAGGCCTTTCGTGTTGCAATCAACACATCATCAGGAGCTTGCCAGGTTGTTGAGCCCAGATCATGTTGGCTGGGACATCCCCTGGGATCATGTTGGTTGGGACATCCCCTGGGATCATGTTGGCTGGGACATCCCCTGGGATCATGTTGGTTGGGACATCCCCTGGGATCATGTTGGTTGGGACATCCCCTGGGATCATGTTGGTTGGGACATTCCTTGGGTTCATGTTGGCTGGGACATCCCCTGGGTTCATGTTGGCTGGGACATCCCCTGGGATCATGTTGGTTGGGACATCCCCTGGGATCATGTTGGCTGGGACATCCCCTGGGTTCATGTTGGCTGGGACATCCCCTGGGATCATGTTGGTTGGGACATCCCCTGGGATCATGTTGGCTGGGACATCCCCTGGGATCATGTTGGTTGGGACATCTCCTGGGATCATGTTGGCTGGGACATCCCCTGGGATCATGTTGGCTGGGACATCCCCTGGGATCATGTTGGCTGGGACATCCCCTGGGATCATGTTGGCTGGGACATTCCCTGGGTTCATGTTGGCTGGGACATCCCCTGGGATCATGTTGGCAGGGACATCCCCTGGGATCATGTTGGTTGGGACATTCCTTGGGTTCATGTTGGCTGGGACATCCCCTGGGATCATGTTAGCTGGGACATCCCCTGGGTTCATGTTGGCTGGGACATCCCCTGGGATCATGTTGGCTGGGACATTCCCTGGGTTCATGTTGGCTGGGACATCCCCTGGGATCATGTTGGCTGGGACATCCCCTGGGATCATGTTGGCTGGGACATCCCCTGGGTTCATGTTGGCTGGGACATCCCCTGGCATCATGTTGGTTGGGACATCCCCTGGGATCATGTTGGCAGGGACATCCCCTGGGATCATGTTGGCTCTGACATCCCCTGGGATCATGTTGGCTCTGACATCCCATGGGATCATGTTGGCTGGGACATCCCCTGGGATCATGTTGGCTGGGACATCCCCTGGGATCATGTTGGTTGGGACATTCCTTGGGTTCATGTTGGCTGGGACATCCCCTGGGATCATGTTAGCTGGGACATCCCCTGGGTTCATGTTGGCTGGGACATCCCCTGGGATCATGTTGGCTGGGACATTCCCTGGGTTCATGTTGGCTGGGACATCCCCTGGGATCATGTTGGCTGGGACATCCCCTGGGATCATGTTGGCTGGGACATCCCCTGGGTTCATGTTGGCTGGGACATCCCCTGGGATCATGTTGGCTGGGACATCCCCTGGGATCATGTTGGCAGGGACATCCCCTGGGATCATGTTGGCTCTGACATCCCCTGGGATCATGTTGGCTCTGACATCCCATGGGATCATGTTGGCTGGGACATCCCCTGGGATCATGTTGGCTGGGACATCCCCTGGGATCATGTTGGCAGGGACATCCCCTGGGATCATGTTGGCTCTGACATCCCCTGGGATCATGTTGGCTGGGACATCCCCTGGGATCATGTTGGCTGGGACATCCCCTGGGATCATGTTGGCTGGGACATCCCCTGGGATCATGTTGGCTGGGACATCCCCTGGTATCATGTTGGCTGGGACATCCCCTGGGATCATGTTGGCTCTGACATCCCCTGGGATCATGTTGACTGGGACATCCCCTGGGATCATGTTGGCTGGGACATCCCCTGGGATCATGTTGGCTGGGACATCCCCTGGGATCACGTTGGCTGGGACATCCCCTGGTATCACGTTGGCTGGGACATCCACTGGGATCATGTTGGCTGGGACATCCCCTGGGATCATGTTGGCTGGGACATCCCCTGGGATCATGTTGGCTGGGACATCCCTTGGGATCATGTTGGCTGGGACATCCCCTGGGATCATGTTGGCTGGGACATCCCCTGGTATCATGTTGGCTGGGACATCCCCTGGGATCATGTTGGCTCTGACATCCCCTGGGATCATGTTGGCTGGGACATCCCCTGAGATCATGTTGGCTGGGACATCCCCTGGGATCATGTTGGTTGGGGCATCCTCTGGGATCATGTTGGCTCTGACATCCCCTGGGATCATGTTGGCTGGGACATCCCCTGGGATCATGTTGGCTGGGACATCCCCTGGGATCATGTTGGTTGGGACATCCCCTGGGATCATGTTGGCTCTGACATCCCCTGGGATCATGTTGGCTGGGACATCCCTGGGATCATGTTGGCTGGGACATCCCCTGGGATCATGTTGGCAGGGACATCCCCTGGGATCATGTTGGCTCTGACATCCCCTGGGATCATGTTGGCTGGGACATCCCCTGGGATCATGTTGGCTGGGACATCCCCTGGGATCATGTTGGCTGGGACATCCCCTGGGATCATGTTGGCAGGGACATCCCCTGGGATCATGTTGGCTCTGACATCCCCTGGGATCATGTTGGCTGGGACATCCCCTGGGATCATGTTGGCTGGGACATCCCCTGGCATCATGTTGGTTGGGACATCCCCTGGGATCATGTTGGCTCTGACATCCCCTGGGATCATGTTGGCTGGGACATCCCCTGGGATCATGTTGGCTGGGACATCCCCTGGGATCATGTTGGCAGGGACATCCCCTGGGATCATGTTGGCTCTGACATCCCCTGGGATCATGTTGGCTGGGACATCCCCGGGGATCATGTTGGCTGGGACATCCCCTGGGATCATGTTGGCTGGGACATCCCCTGGGATCATGTTGGCAGGGACATCCCCTGGGATCATGTTGGCTCTGACATCCCCTGGGATCATGTTGGCTGGGACATCCCCTGGGATCATGTTGGCTGGGACATCCCCTGGGATCATGTTGGCTGGGACATCCCCTGGGATCATGTTGGCAGGGACATCCCCTGGGATCATGTTGGCTCTGACATCCCCTGGGATCATGTTGGCTTGGACATCCCCTGGGATCATGTTGGCTGGGACATCCCCTGGGATCATGTTGGCTGGGACATCCCCTGGGATCATGTTGGTTGGGACATCCCCTGGGATCATGTTGGCTCTGACATCCCCTGGGATCATGTTGGCTTGGACATCCCCTGGGATCATGTTGGCTGGGACATCCCATGGGATCATGTTGGCAGGGACATCCCCTGGGATCATGTTGGCTCTGACATCCCCTGGTATCACGTTGGCTGGGACATCCCCTGGGATCATGTTGGCAGGGACATCCCCTGGGATCATGTTGGCTCTGACATCCCCCTGATAATGTGTTGCTCGCATCACGAGAGGTCTAGACCCATCATTCTACACCCCCCTGGAAGTATCGCACTCACCAAATTGTGGTTGCAGGGGTCGAGACTCAGCTCCTGGCCCCACCAGGATATTACAATTACTTTGACTTAAAAGCAACGATAACCCCAGTTATCTGCAGTTCTTATAAATGATAATTTATCAGTTTAATTATGTATAACTGAGGTATACAGTGGACGGTGGATAAAAGATACTTGTCACAGGTGCTGCTTTATTGTCCTGTTTAACAGAAGGTACGTATAAACTGTACAACAAATACTCTTAACATTAATTTTGTAAATACTCTACTGTACCTCATACCTGGAGTATACCTGGAGTATACCTGGAGTATACCTGGAGTATACCTGGAGTATACCTGGAGTATACCTGGAGTATATCTGGAGTATACCTGGAGTATACCTGGAGTATACCTGGAGTATACCTGGAGTATACCTGGAGTATACCTGGAATATATCTGAAGTATACCTGGAGTATATCTGGAATATTCCTGGAGTATACCTGGAGTATACCTGGAGTATATCTGGAGTATACCTGGAGTATACCTGGAGTATACCTGGAGTATACCTGGAGTATATCTGAAGTATACCTGGAGTATACCTGGAGTATACCTGGAGTATACCTGGAGAATACCTGGAGTATACCTGGAGTATACCTGGAGTATATCTGAAGTATACCTGGAGTATATCTGGAATATTCCTGGAGTATACCTGAAGTATACCTGGAGTATACCTGGAGTATACCTTGAGTATACCTGGAGAATACTTGGAGTATACCTGGAGTATACCTGGAGTATACCTGGAGTATACCTGGAGTATATCTGGAGTATACCTGGAGAATACCTGGAGTATACCTGGAGTATACCTGGAGTATATCTGGAGTATACCTGGAGAATACCTGGAGTATACCTGGAGTATACCTGGAGTATACCTGGAATATACCTGGAGTATACCTCGAGTATACCTCGAGTATACCTGGAGTATACCTGGAGTATATCTGAAGTATACCTGGAGTATACCTGGAGTATACCTGGAGTATACCTGGA